TTTTCACAATTTTAGCAGTATTTTCTTTGTTTACAGTAATTAAGAATCTAGAGTACTAAGGTTTACCATTTTTTACATAAGAGTAATTCACTCATTAAGTATATCAACTATATTTGATTAGCAGTACAATGAAGAGTAGATTTTTATAGTTTCACTTATTAACTCTGTTATTCTGATAGCAAGTGTTACATTAATTAGATTTTTGTATAAATCTAGAAAAATATTTAAAATAGTTGCTTTTTTACTAATGATGGGTTTGCTTATCTTATATTATTACATCATTTTATCAATTGTTAGTGGTCAATCAAATGATTTCTCAAGTAAAAGGATATCTTACTTTTTTATAATGTTTGGAGTAGATTTTTTCATCTTATCAACATTAATCTCAATATTTAACATATTTGCCTTTGTTAAAATAGTTGAGGATTCAATCAAAAACTAATTTATATTAAAATTATTGAGTTTATTATAAATATAAGATATTTTAGAAAATTTAGCTTTGTGATTTTCTAAATAAAAGTTTTATTTTTGTTTGTCTTTATATTAGTTTTAGATATGAACATAACTTTAATATAACCTGAATATTAAGTGATTGAATAAAATTTTTTTTTGATCTTAGATTTCAATTTCAATTGAAATAATTTTTTAAAAAATTTAATAAATAAAAAAACTATTATAACAATATATAAATTAATATTAAATTTTAAATTTATTTTATAAAATAATAAAAGATGACCTTAAAGGCTAAATTAAAAAAATTACTATTTATTAAAATTAATATCTTTAACATAAATTAAATTCTTGCATCTCAGAGTTCGCTAGAATTTAAGTCATGGAAATGGAAGCGCTATAAATAGTAAAATTAAATAGATTATGAGTTAATCAGGTTTCAAATCAATAAACAAAACAAATCAAAAAGAAATCAATTATGATTTTGAGTAATAAATTTTATACTTTAATAGTGACCTTTTTTTTAATAATTGGTATGTAATATTTATTAAAATTATCTTTAGCTTATGAAGAGTAAATTAAAAGAAACAAATTATAAAAAAAATTGATATTTCCTTTAAATTAATTGTAAACCAATGTTAGTAATATTAATATTACTTTATGTTAAAAATTCGTGGTAAAGAGATATTTAAAATCAATAAACAAAACAAATCGAAAAAGAAATTAATTAATTAATTAATTATAATTTCTAGAGATTAGTTTTATATTTAAATACTGGCTTTTTTTTTAATGGTTTTAATTAAATATAAAAAAAATTGATATTTCCTTTAAATAAATTGTAAACGAATGTTAGTAATATTAATATTACTTTATTTTAAAAATTGTAAAGAGCTATTTAAAATCAATAAACAAAACTAATCAAAAAGAAATTAATTGAAATTTAGCATTATTAAAAAAGAATTATTTGAAAAATACTTCATTTTGTTTTCTAAAAGATTAAATTAGTTAAGACCAAATAATTAATTTTCATCAAGCTTATCAACATTTTTTACCAAAAATGTTAATATTTTGTAAGGATTATCTTTCTTTTTATTTAACACGTTCAATTAAAGATTTTATATAAATATTCATAGGTATTTTGCTCGCTTTAAGAATAGTCTAAGCATAGGATTGCTCATTCCTTCTCTCATAAATTTAACCAAGTACTTAATTTTTGGGTAAATTTGAATTTCTAAAAATTATAAACATAACCATCAAAATTTAAATAAAACTAAGGCTACGAGTGCATAATGAGTTCATCTACAACGTTCGATTCTAATTACCTTTAAAATAAAAATGCATATAGATTAAGGTCATTTGATTAAAAGAACAATTTCGACATTTTATATTCTAATGTTAGATAACCTACATGTGCGAATCTTATTTAATCGGAGTAACAATAATTTAATGGCATAAACTTAGAGATTGATAGAGATAGCAAGGCTTAGTATATATAAAATATATATATAAGCTTTGATTTATATAGCAACGAAATACCTTATTGGCTTTATGTTATTTCAAGTTGGAAAAGTGATGTCTAACACTCTTATCTTTATTAATCTTAAGATTATCCCTCAGTATAAAAGGATTAGTGTGAGTCATTCAAATTGAGTTTATTTGAAAATATCGATTTGACTTACTTACCAGTGAAATTTAGTTCAACTTCGATTAGTTTTAATGTCGTAAATTCAAGAAGTACCTATCTTTTAACTTAAATATCAAATTTATAGGTTCTCTTTTACTATGAAGTAAATTTTATTGATTTGTTTCATTTTTTTAATTATTTTATACTCATACTCATTTTTTTAACATAAATGTTAATAAAATTTCAGCTTATAATTTTATTCAGAACTTTATCAGTTAGTTATTGTATTTTTCAAAATAAAATTAAGTTATTTTTGTTGTAATTTTGAACAATTTAGTTTTATCTTTTAGCCATTTTAATAACCACAAAGTTATTTAATTAGAAATTGGAATATATGATTAAGTCTTTGGTTTTTAGATTTAATGATTTGGTTTTAAATTATTTAATAGTGTCCAATTGGCTGCAAGGGTTCTTGTCCTTAAAGGAATTGCAAAGATTGCTAAAGCGGCTACAATCTTAACAATGGAAAATGTGTATTATAGTGCACTTAAAGCTAATACATTTAATAAGATTAATCTTCAAAGTAATCATGCTTACCCTGCTTTTCTAATTGCAATTAATGTGCTGATGGGAATACTTGTATAACTTGTGCTAATGGTTTTACCTACGCTTTCGTTAATGGCTAAAATATGTGTTATCCATCGTGCAGCTAATCTAACCAGTATATTGATACAAAAGGTTAGTGCTAAAATTGTATGTAATATTGCAGCAAATGCTCCTAAGCAAATAAATGTGATACTTGTTTATCAGGATTCACTTTGAGTGCTACATTTGATTGTTAATGTTAAGGTTTTATCAACAATAATCAATGTACTCCTTGTACTCCTCCTTGCTAAACTTGTGGTGGTAGCTCAATTAAAAGTTGTAAATCTTGTATAAATAATTACTACCCAGTTATAGATTATTAAAATTAGTCATAATTTTATTGTCTTTAAATATGCCCAAATAATTATTAGCTAATAAATAATACTTGTAAAAAATGTATTTAGACTATTTACAACAGCTGTTTTAATTGCCCTAGTACTTGTAGATCTTGTTCTCCATCTTAGATTAACAAGTGTTAAGATTGTTATCCTGGAATGCAGCTTAATAGTAATGGTTTATGCGAGCCGTAACCTTAATCTGGACTATAAATAGATAGTAGAAATCTCAACTTTTATTACTATAGCTATAATAATATAGCAGTTGTTTAGGCTACTTTATCAAGCTCAAATCCAAGATTAACTCTAGAATTCGGTATTAATTTAGTTCCTAT